CTTTGCACTCTCCACACATTGCTTAGTGTGCCTAGGGCTCAGATCCGCAAAGGTGCTTAATTTCCTTTCAAGAGTCTGTCTAATTGATTTTAAACAGTTACACTGATTTCAAAGTGGAATTTGGTAGCCTAAAGACCTTTGAATACTTGGCCTTTAGTGCTTAATTTGGGGATGTGGTTTCCACTAAAAATTAGGCATCTAACTTATGTTAACTATTAATGATTGTCAGGGTTATGTTTTATATAAATAAAATCAATGAAAGCTAAAATAGAGAGAACACTCCGGTCTGAAGTAAACTTAGCTGCACCCTCATCCATCCTACTATCAAGGTGCATCAGGGCTACATAACGTAGATAGCTGCATAGGATTTTGCCACAAAAAAGGCAGGCAAAACTCAAAACAACTTGGTAGCACCAAAGGCATGTTTGACAATGGCACGTTAGACAACAGACTGATGGCACAAGGTAATACAGTGCCATCACCTTCTCTCACACTGTCTGTACCATTAATCTGTTATTTCAGGCATGCGATTCTGAGAGCAATAGGGAGTAGCTGGTTCTGCTAACAGAGAGCTGCCCTTCTGATGTGAGAGCAAGAACTGCAGTTTTGATCAGCTCTTTGTAAAAGATATAAGAGGAGAGTTGTAGCTTCTCTATCCCTTGCAAACAATACACCCAACCTGGAACAAAGGATGTATCACAAAGGAGGTACACAAAGGACAAATGTGAACATGTAGGAATAAAATCAGGAAAACAAAGGCAAAAAACAGACTAGGGAAACTGTGGTTCCTTTTGTCAGCAGAGAAGGTGAGCCATTAGTAGATGAAGAAGACAGTAATCCACTCTTCCTACTTTGCTACACACAAACACCCACCCAGCACTTTTGAAAAGCTTGAATTTATTCAAGTCAGCAGGTCCTGCCAAAATTCAGCCCAGGATGCTGAAGCAAGTAGCTAAAGAAATCTCAGAGCCAATGGCAATAATATTTACAAACTCTTAGATGAGCGATGCACCAGAAGACTGGTGAAGGGCTAACATAATACCCATCTTTAACAATGGGTCGGTGGGAGGCATACTAAGGAATTATAGACTGGTTAGCCTGAATTCAATACCTGGGAAATTATGATAGCAAATTATTAAAAAAAAGAAGTCATTTACAAAATATCTGGAGGATGGAGGTGTCAGGGTTGTGTGTAGCAATCAGTTTGCGCAATGCAGTGAACTTTAGTAAGGCTTTTGACAGAATTCCCGATGCCATTTTCATTACACTGGTGAAACATGAGCTAGACAGAACTACCTTTAAGTAGATATGTAATTGTTTGAATAACCACAGGCAAAGACTGTAAACAGATCAGTGTCAAACTGGCAGGAGGTCTCAAGTGGCATTCCACAGAGATCTGCCCCAGGGTCAGTGCTGTTTAACATTTTGATTAATGACTTGGATGCAAACATAGATAATATGTTGATCATATCTGCAGATGACAAACTTTGGAGAGGTTACAAACACTGGAAGACAGGATTAAAATCCAAAGCAATGTGGCTAAATTCGAGAACTGGGCAATAGACAACAAAATGAAAATAAACAAAGATAAATGTAAGGCAATGGACATAAGGAATTAAAACCAAATGCACAAACACAGAATGGGAGATAACTGGTTTGGCAGTAGCACTGCTGAGGATGACGTGGGGTTTATAGTGGATTATATGAGATAGTGATATGAGGCTCTCACAAGAAAAGCAAATGTCATTTTGAGGTGTAACAACAGGAGCATTGTATGCAAGACATGGGAGGTAAGAATACTCTTCTATTTGGGGCTTGTTAAGCTTCAGCTAGATGACTGTGTCCAGGTTTGGGCAGCACATTATAAGGAATCAGATATGTTAAGTGGCGACATGACAGCAGTTAGCAAGTATTTGAAAGACTGGCATAAAGAAATCAAAGAAACATGGTGCTCCCTTGCTGTAGAGAACATAGAGGCAATAGGTTTAGATTGCAGCAAAGCAGATTTAGGATAAATCTCAGGAAGTGCTTCCAAACTATAAAAGTAGTATGGCAATGGAACAAACTGCCTTGCAAAGTTGTGATGTCTCCCTCACTGGAGGTTTTCCAAAAGAGGTTTGATGGGCATGTATCAGGGATGGTTTAGGGATAACACAACCTAAATCTGTGCAGGGGGTTGGATTCCATGATCCATGAGTTCCCGTCAAATCCTATATTTCAAACCAGGCCCTTCTCAAGGCTGTGTTTCTTAGAGTACTCCAGCATGTGTCTCTCTTATAAGTAGTTGATGAAACAATCCTTTATGAACACCTGGTTTGAAAATCTGATTCCTAGGCTTCAATTCCAACTATGGCTGGAATTCCGCAGTTGGAATTTGAGCCCCTTACTCTTTTGATAAAATAAATTCCATTCAACATTATGTTTGTACATTGTTCAGTTGAGAACTTTAAAAAAACTCTAAGGTTTTATCTATTCAGCTTGGAAATCATATATATAATTATTTTCATAATTGTATAGATTGGCTTGTCCTGACCTTCTTAGCCAAAACTTTTCTATTGTGGATGGTTGCCACTTATAAACCCAGAGGTGCTTCATGTTGCAACATATCCCATTGAACTGTCAAGTATTTTAAAGTTTTTTTCAGGTCGAAGATGCTATTTAAATGTAAGTCATGTCCAACAAGAAAAACACCACTGTGTAGTGTGAAATAGATGATAGTAAGTCTATGAAGAAAACCAAGTGTGAACATGAAAGATGGATTAAAAGGAAAAAAACCCCTCACAATGGAAGCTGTGCAAGAGAAGGAAAAGGAAAAACAAAAAAGGAAAGAAAAGATATGAATGAAAAATATCCTAAAAAAGACTTTGAAAGACAAAGGTAAATAACCATGAGTACTATAATAAAAAGAAGAAATAGTAGAAGGAGAAGGAAAAGAGGTTGAAATAAAAATAAATGTGAAAGATGTTAAAACATGGAAAAAAAGAAGAAAGAGAAAGCCAAGGAAATGAAACACACAGATAAGAAGTCAGAATGAAAAAACCTACCTTTCTAGGTAAAAATATTTAACAATAGAGGATGCTGATTTAGACATGACAGGGCATGAAATGCATTGTATTTATATCACACCTACTGTATTGTACTGCTGAGTTCTGTCAACAGAACTAGGTGTTAATTAACAAACACAGCTTGGGCCACTGGGTACACATTGTTATTCAGAACTTATTTTCCTCACCTTTAACAGAAAAGGAGAACTAGAGATACACTTTTTCTAGAAATCAGTCTATTTTCCCAACTGATACACATTGAGGTGAAATAATTTTTATTTTGTGTGGTAGAATCTTTGATGCTAAAAGACATGTTTAAAAGTGCATGAAAAATGCTGATTTCCATGTTATTACTTTCCTGAATTATAGTATCTTTCTTAATTACATTTCAAGAGCATATGATAAGATCCCAGTCTTGCTATAAGAGCATACGAGACAAATCTGAACATGGTTAGTAAAAACATAAGAACTGCCTTACTGGGTCTGACCAACGGTCCATCCATCACCATCCCCTATCTGTGACAGTGGCAATAGTAGCTGCTTTGGAGGGAGAGCGTATGAACAGGGAATACTGTATTTCCAGTGTATAGGTTGACGTGGTGTATAAGTCAACCCCTTTTTCTGCTTAAAGAAGTTAGGAATTTCGTAGATTTGGTGTATAAGTCGACCTAACTTTTTGGATCAGAAATAGGGGGTTGACTTAAAACAGTCCCTGGACATCCTCACTGCATAGAGGGGTAGACACGTGCTGCAGCACTGCTCACAGAGGATGGGGCTGGGCTCAGCTGGCATGGCCCCATCTTCCTTGAGCGGTGCTGCCTGGGCTGCACCAGCTGAGTGCTGAGCCTAGCACCGCTCAGATGGGATGGGGCCGCACCAGTCGAGCGCCGAGCCTGGCCCTGTCTGCTGTGAGCGGTGCTGCTGAGTCCAGCCCCACCTGTTGTGAGTAGTACTGGGCTTGGTACTTGGCTGGTGCAGTCCAAGCAGCGCTGCTCACAGGGGATGGGGTTGTGCCAGCCAAGTGCTGAGCCCAGCGCTGCTTGCTGGGGATGGGGATGAGAACAGAGACTGGCTTGGTGCTTGGTTTGCATGCCCTCATCCCCTGCAAGCGGTGCTGCCTGGGCTGTGCCAGCTGAATGCAAAGCCTGGCCCCATCTGCTGTGAATGGCACTGGGTTTGGCACTTGGCTGGTGCAGCCGGGCTCAGCACTTGGCAGCACTGTCCTCAGCAGACAGGGTCAGGCTCAATGCTTGGCTGGAGCTGCCCCATCCCCTGCAAGCAGGCTCAGCACTTGACTGGCACAGCCCAGGCAGTGCTGCTCGCAAGGCAGTGTTGCTTGCTTGCACACCAATGTTCCCTGCAAGCAGTGCTGCCTGGGCCACACCAGCCAAACATTGAGCCCAGCACTGCTCACAGGGGATGGTGATACAGTGTATAAGTCAAGGTTGAATTTTAAGAGTTAAAAATTGGGCTTCAAAACTTGACTTTTACATCGTGAAATACGGTAACTAAAGCAGTGGTTCTCAGCCTTCTACACTCAAGGTACCTGTCCATAACTTTTGTGAACTGACACACCGTTAAAAAAACTAATATATTTATTTTAGTGCTTACTTTCTTAAAGAGGGGCTGAGAATGAGGAGCAGCAGCTGGCAAGGAAGAACCCATGCTGCAGTGAGCTGGGGGTGTGGAGTGGAGAAGGAAAATCTGTAAGGGAAGAGTCTGCACTTATCTCCTTAAAGCCAGCCTGCATTTATCTTATCTTATCTCCTTTCTCCCAGTGGCACACTTCAAAGGCTGCCACAGCACCCTGCTTTAGAATCACTGATTTAGAGTGATATGTCCCCTGTCATGTCCTCCCTGGCATCCACTGTCATTGGTTTAGGACATTAGTGTTGAAAAATACATACTGTCCAAGATTGAACATAGTCCCATCCAGTGTATGCCATTATCACTTACCTCACCTGCAGTTTCTGGTTTCAGATCTTCATCTGGATCTACATCAACCCTAATAAAGAAAATAAGAAAAATGGTGAAAGACCTGATGCAGAACAGATGGTCATGTGAGAGAGATGTTTCTTTGTATCATATCACTCAGTCTCAAGTAGGCAAGAAAAGGGTAGTGGCATTGCCAGAACATTAAGATCAAATCAAAGTCATTCACAATAACTTTACATGAGAAATTATACACTGTTTACCAGCATTCTTAATAGCTAAGATCAGCTCTGCACTCTGGCTTTGACACATTTACACAGGGTAGAAGGACCAGAGGGGAGTATAAAGGAGCTCTAAGTACTATGTAAACTAGGCAGGGAGGATTTGCCTGGTGCAGGCATTACAGTTGGCATCTGCAAGGGGCCTGACCTCCAAGGTCCCCTCCATAGCTCCATAGGGACAAAAATTACACATAAACCAGTATAAGTGATAGGAAACCAGATTTAAATCTGTACCACAACAGAAGTTTAGTTCACGTAAACCACTTTCAAAATGGCTGAAACCAGTTTAAGATAAAGCAGGATGGATATATTATCAGACTTCAGTGGTTTAGGTTAAATTGGTTTATTGAGCTTCTGTCCCAGATCCTCTCCAGACTCAAGTTAACTCACAGTCCCCCAGCATCCCGGGATGCTTTGCACCTCCCCCACAAACCCCTGCCTCCCAGGTGCACGGGCTAGCCTTGGCCCAACCTGTCTGCTCTGGCCCAGCAGAGGGATATGCTCTAGTGCCCCCTGGCATCTGGCCTGGGCCACTGCAGGCATGCGGAATCAAAAGTGAATGTCTGTTCACTTGCTTATCAGTTCAATTTATGCAGCTCAGGCTAACCTACAAAGATTGAATTGATTCAGCATCAGGCTTTCTGACTGTCTGCACTTAGACTATAGGAAGCCTGCTGAGGAAGAGCCGGAAGTAGGAGAGGCATGTTCAGGGGAAGGCTGCAACAAACAGTACTTTGGAGATTCTGGGCATGCTGCAGACCCATAGGGCAGCTAAATGTGGCTACTGTACCTGTTACTAGGGTGGAATCTGAAGAGTGAGGGAGGTGAAGAGACAGTTTACAGCTATTTTAATCCTTTATTTTTCTGCACTGTAAGTCCTGCACTTAGCTCCATATCTCAACTCTGGGGGAAAATAACACAGAGGTGGAACTGGGTGCTCCACAACCTGGGCAGCTGTGCAGTGCCCAAGGCAGTGACAGCTGCTGCATGCTGATCACAGCACCAAGAAAACAGATGATGATGATGGTCTTCACTGCAGCTTCCTGAAAGCTGAAGAGAGCAAATTGTGTCAGGTAGGTAAGACAAGGGGAAAAAAACTGGCAATGATGAGATGGGCAATGGGAACAACCTGGATAGCAGTTTTAGCAGTGTGGACAGACAATAAAGTCTGGGCATTAATGAGAATATGTAGGAAGAAACAATGAGATTTGGACAGTGGCTTGATGTGCATAGCTAGAGAGGTGATTAGAGGCCTAGGTGGAAGTGGCCGTTTCGTGATGATATCCATAGTGAGAAGAAAGAAGGGCAATGAGGAATAACAATGGATAGACCTATCACTGGATCTCAAGTCAAAAGGAAACCAGTAGCTCTGAGTGCCTGAGAAGCCATTTGAGCTAATGCAAAATCTACTGATACAGATAAAATGTATTTTTTCACTAGGTGTTCATTTAAGGTCACTTAATAGTTTTGCTTATTGTATATATATTTTTCCTATCAGCTTTATTCTTAAATCCTATTTATTATTTTTAAATAATTTATTATTAACAATTACTTGATCCTACATTCTTTACTGGAAATATTATGCATACATTCTTATACAGTCTGAGACAAGAACTAGAAGTAAAGTGGATGCTTTTATGTGTAAATCCTGAAAGGAGGAGTGAAAAGACAGTTTGTTTCTAGCACAGATCTCTAGTTTCAAAAAAATCCAGGTCTTCCAGGCATAAATATTTTCACATTTTTATTAAAACTAATGATCCCAGTCCTGACTCAACAAAGAGATAGAATGAATAGTAGGGCTGTGAGAAGCTTCCAGTGCTGATTTGATTCAGAGGAGATTCAGCCCAATTTGATGGCTGAATCTCTGAATCCGATAGAATCAGGAGACCAATTAAAAGGTCCAAATTGATTAGAAGCTCTCCACATCAATTTGGAAAAGATTCGGAGAGCTTTAGAGATTTGGGCAGTCCTTGCTCACTGCTGCAGGGAGCTGGACCCAGACTCTGTGCTGGTAAGTAGGGGGTGGGGAAGAGGGGGGCTGGAGGAAGGGGGAGGCAGAGCAGACCTGGGCGGGGCACCTGTGGGGGGACTGGGGGAGCAGGGAGGTCAGGATGCTCATACAGAGCCCCCCATGCAGTGGGGGGCAGTGGGGATTCCCACCCCTGCCTTGGCAGGACCCGATGAGTGGAGGCTTTTTTTTTGTTTTTTTAAAGAGCTGGGAGCGTGGGCAGGGGATGGGGGCTTGTGACAGAGTCCCCTATGCAGCACAGGGCAGTGGGGGGCAGTGGGGATCGCCCCCACACCTGGCAGCAGTCGGTGACTGGGGGCACATTTTTTTCCAAAGAGCTGGGAGCTGAGGCTGGTTGGGGCAGCCAATGACGGGGCTGGGAGAGTGGATGGGGGATGGGTCCGATTCGGAGATTTGGCCAATTTGGCTACCGAATCTCTCAATCAGATTCAGCTGAATCAATTTGGGATAGTGATTTGAATCAGCGAATCAAATCACTGTCCCCCAAATCGGCTGAATCCGAAGCAAATACTAGCCGCTTCGCACAGGCCTAATGAATAGCTGGTTATTTTTTTACTCAAGTTTTGTCCTTTAAGTTAGCAGAAAAACCACAGAAAGTACCGACCTGGAATAAATCACATTGTCATATCTTAAAAGGCAATCAGGACTCATAGTAGAGATGATATCTTTTATAAGACCACCAAGATTTTTATTTAAAAATGTCTTTAATTGCAAGCTTTTGGGCACAAATATGCTTCATCAGGCATTGGAGAAAAGACTGTAAAAGTTATCAAACTTCTCAACCTTCTGTCTCAAAAGAAACAGAAATCTATGGATAAAGAAAATCTGTGGATTTAGGAAGCTTTGCAAATGTTGCTGTTTGTGCTGAATTTACAGTCCCCTGCACAAACAGGGCTAAATTGCATTTCACTTTTTGTGCCAAAATGGGGTGTACACCTTTGCATAACTGCAAGTTTTGGTACTGAAGTTAACAAACTTTTACAATCTTTTCTCTCGTGCCTGATGAAGGGCATTTGTGCCTGAAAGCTTGCAATTAAATAATTTTTTTTGCAAAAATCTTGTTGGTGGTCTAATAAAAGACACCATCTCTACTATGAGTCCTGATTGCTTTTTCTTCCAGACTAATATGGCTGCAACCTGGATACCATTGTCATATCTTAGTCATTTAAACTGAAAAACATGAATAGCCTGTAAGAGCTTAATTGTCAGCTTAACACTGGATTTATAATTTCCTTTACAGTAGTGATTATAGTAACTGAGATCAGGGCTATTTGTGCTGGGCACAGTATGGACACATGGTGAAGGACAGCATTTGCCCTTGCAACCCTAAGTGTAAACAGGGAAAAGGCGGTGGTAGGGAAAAAGTACTACACAGTGATGTGACTTAGAATCATATGAAGGTAGGGCCGAAGGGCTCTCGTGAGGTTAAGCCCTCAAAAATTGCCTAAATTCACTAGGAAGACCAGTGGCAGAAGAAGGAAGAGAACTCAGGTTTCTTAACTGCAAGTTAAGTGTCCCATCTATGGTGTCATTGTTCCCCCCCCCCAAGATGGGACAACATGTCACCATGAGGAAACACTGGCAGTACAATGGTTAAAGGTCTTTGCAGATCTGGGAATGAAAGAAAGTCTATGCTTGATAGGTGTAGTTCAGGAGGCTGCAACATGAACTTCCTCATACGCTCTTCTACTTAATTAGCTTGACCTGACCTCAAAGAATTATCTCCTGGGACAGAAGTAATTTAGATTTCACGCAGTTCTGAACTTACTGGAGTTGTGAAACTGCCAGTTATGCCTGACTATGTATGGTGGTGTTGGGATGTGTTTATTAGGCAATGAGCTAAGACAATGGAAAACATTTTACCTGAGACTCAAAGACTGTTATAGTAAATGTGAAAAAGCTACAGAATGTAGGCATTAGGAACCAGAGCTTTTGCCTGTACTATCATTTCAGTCACAGGGTGCATCTATACATGCATTAATGTGCCTTTTCTAATGCACATTAAATTTAGTACCTCCAATGTGAGGTACTGAATTAATGTGTATTAGGCTGTGCTGGTGTGCAGTAGCACACTTGCACACTTTTTTAGTGATGCTTTATGTGCAGTAGATTATTTTACTGTGCATTAGCATAATGTCATGGTTTTTTATGTGATGCTTTAATGTGAGGTAAAACAGCCTACTGTGCATTAAAGCACATGTGTAGATGTGCCCACAGTGATGCAATTTCTGTCTCAAAAGAAACAGAAATCTATGGACAAAGAAAATCTGTGGATTTAGGAAGTTTTGCAGATGTTGCTGTTTGTGCTGAATTTACAGTCCCCTGCACAAACAGGGCTAAATTGCATTTCACTTTCTGTGCCAAAATGGGGTGTATAACTCTGCATAACTGCAAGTTTTGGTACTTACACACAGTTTGTGAATCATCTCTGGGCATGCAAGGGACATGCCCACTGAGCATACTCAGTAGGACAGTGCTCTGGCCAGGAAAAATACAGTGCCAAATATTCACCCCGGTGCGTGTGTAAGGTTAGCTACAAGTCCTGAAACCACAGGCAGGCAACAGCCAGTGTGTATGAGGAGAAGGAGGTGGGCCCTCCTACGTTGTTACCCAATATTCTAGTGTGTGGGGCACTTATCTAGGGAGTGGGAAATGGAGTTTAGGCCTCCCTCACCCAGAAAGGATTAACATCTGAACCTCTTACTTCCCAGCAAAGTGCACTAGCCACCATGCCACAGGGTAGGCATTATCCAGAGCCCTTTC